CACGAACCAACTGGAATTGGACGATTCATCGTCACTGATCGATCAATAACCACGGAACAATTTTATGGCACCCTAGAAACCTCAATGGGAGAAACTCACGAAAATCGGCCGTGTTCGACTTTCTCCAGAAGGTCTTCTTGGTATCAGGCAAGTGGCTTCGTCGCACTTCCAGAAGCCATTCATACATGAACTGAAAGCAAGAAAGATTCAGAAATTAGTCTCAAGAAACCCAGAGTCTCTCAATTGTCCTGGAAGGTTAGCCTCCCGCTAATCATATTGAACTTATAGTAATTACATCCATTCTAGGAAAAATGAGCCATTATTGGAACTCAAACAATTCGCAAGTTTGGATAGGTTGAAATTTAATACCTGGCTGGTATGTTTGAGATTTTAATTTATGGGAAACCTGAAATCGGAGATCTTGCTAAATGCGGAAATCCGATGTTGGAAACAAACTCGTTGTCCTCAACCTGATGGGATTGCCGGCTCATTTTACGGTTGCCCTTGACTCCTTGAAATGCACTTCTGTAGCACAAAATTTGCCCACATTAATGTAAGTCTAGGGAAACTGCACAGGGTACGGTTGGCCTTAAGGACACACCCCTCGCTTATATAACTGGAACACTCAAACAACAGCGCTTTCCCCTCATTGGTGCGCTGACTCTCTCTCGCTGCCATCATAGAAATAAGAGCCAATCAATGGGAAAGAAGAAATGATCCAAGCGACACGCCCCTTACGATCAGCGCGGAATGTGCTTCTACACACATATGCTCCAGCTACCATCACACGCCCAGTCTTATGATAGTTAAGGACCTTCGGCAGCAAGTCAATCAATGAAGTTCAACCAGAGATGTTTTTCAAAAGAGGCTTCCAAATAGTTTTATTAGACAGGTTTCTGCAATCGTTATAAAGTGTTCAAAACAATGATAAAGCTACAATTTCCATCGATCCATTTTCCATCCATTCAATCAATTGATTTGGTTCATTTGAATTTTCGAACAAATGAGAAAGAGTAAATGGACATCTGTAATCTCAAGAGAATCTTCACCGCAACATCTTTTCCATACTGTTGCAGCAAATATTCTCATAAGAGTCCCCTTTGCAGGAAAAACCATCTGACTGGAGGAAAAGGCTTTTTGCTATCATCTTCTCGACTGAAGTCTTATAATGAATGTGTAGTTCGACGGCAATTACCACGAAATCAATACGATGAGCTACGTAATTGTCAGGTGAATTTCTCCCTAATAGCTGTGCAAGAGACGTCGGAGTCGCACTTCCCGAAACACGTCAGAGTTTGCAAAAGCAGATTTTCAAAGAACGATGTTTTTATAAGCGAAGATAGATTAAGAGAATCCACCGGAATTTCGAAAGACTCGCACCTTGAAGGTGTTGGTGAAAGTTAGGAAGTCAAAACTCGACTGGGAATTGGGTGATGATCATAGCGAATTTTACAGTTATTGCACAACGCCGACCTCCAGTCCTACCCCGCGATGAATGTGAATACCCACAGTCTTGCTCGCTGCGGACGCTGGGGCGCCTTAGGAGGAAAGGGTGGGGTGGCTGGGCTTGCCGCACCACCAGCCTCTTCTCCATCAATGCTCCAGCCTCCCAAGCAGGTGGAGGCGCGCCAAATCCAGCTCCGGAGACGCCGCAACTCTCTCATAGAACAAGACTGTACACATACAAGAAGGCTTGAGCGCGAGGCGATTTTGATGGATGCCTTTTTGCCGGAATAGGCCTGGCAAGAAGTAAATAATGTTCCTGTCTATCGAATAAGCAACTTGTTGAAGTTGGCGAAGCGATCTAATTGGCAAATTGGTTTTATGCTTCACTAGTGGACGATATACAAAATCAGGGTGTTGGCATGCTTTCAAGATTTCGTTTACTCTGTTCTGAAGCAATTTAAAAATTAAAGTACTGGAAAATTGTACGTAAGTTATCTCATTAGCTAGAAGTTTTCAGAAAATTTGAACTTACCAAGATCTACAATTCTGCTCGATCCGATCGCCGTCGTGATATCGAATCCCGTCCGAAACGCATTCTGAAATCATTTCCATATTTTTTTGAAGTTTTCAGATATTCATTTTTAGATATTCATACATTCATTTTTCATTTAATTCATTTGCGCTGATATAGGACAGTATGTCCATGGCGAAGGTGACATTGCAAGCGGCGTTTTGGGTGCAACATTAGTATCAGAGCCAGCATGTCGATTCATCACATAGAGCTCTGCTACAGTCTTTCTTCTGCGAACGCTGGGGCGCTTCAGAAAGGCTGAGTCTGACGCGGCGCCGGTCCGTTCTCCTTTAGACGCAGAAGCTAGCAGACAAGTACAATTGGTGTCTGCCAGCTTCTGCGTACGACCACGCCAAACCCAGCCCCACCCCTCCCATGAAACGCTCAGGGCCCGCAGCGAATAAGACTGTAAATCGTGCAGGTCACCGTAACGTGGATTTCCTGAACTGTACTCTGATTGCACTAGCGCTAAAGCATTTCTTAGAAAGTTCGCTAATTTAGTCACACAAAAGCGAGTTTCAGTTTGGAAAACTGCCCATCACACTAAAGGAATTTTTCCCAATGTCGGAATATTTTGCAATTTCAATTCTTGGAAACTAATTCATCGAAGTTCAGAGACCAAGCTATACCTTGCCCATTCAGATCTGCTTGGTAATCGTTCTGTATTCCACGGCATGTTGCCTCGAAGTCTGGACAGCAATCATTGCCTGAAATGAGACACCAGTTCGATCAATAAATCGATATTCTATCAAGTGGATTTTGATCGATATATACCTCCGTCCGGTCCACGATCACAGAACATATCACAATAGCAAAGGTGATTGCCAAGAATCGGTGCTGTGCAATCGTCATTTCTATGTTCGCAGCACGTCGGTGTTCGAACCGAGCAGTACCGGCCTGAAGCAGACAACCGTCCAGCAAATCAACCAATAGATTCCACAAGTTGTAAGATATTTTTTGAGGCTGCAGGTATAATATCTACTGGTGGTAGTCAGGTCTAAGCCTAATGAATAATAATTGATCAAAATTAAGCCGAATTAGTTACCCTCTACTTCTGTGAAATTATCTATCCCGCAAGTAAAAATAGCTTGAAAAAAGTACAGAAAAACATTATAAAGGAAAGAAACTCAAGACCCTTGAGCAACTTCTAAATTTCGAGGTTTATAATAATAATAAACTATAAATCTACAAAAGACGCAACAGCATTGTTGAACACTGGGCAAAAGATGCGCCGTGCATTCGACTTCCTGTCAAAATACTAGGCTACGCCTGACGCGTTCGCGCAGTTTCCAGATCGTTAGGTTCAGTAATACTTATCAGTGGCACTTCTGGGTTCCGCATAAATCCCCCCCCCCTCCTCACGTTTTGTGCATGGTCCATTTTGTGAGCTGAGTTTCGTGCCAATTTAGCCGAAAAATTTTCGGGTCGGAGATTTGAGAAGCACCGTGAACCCGCTCGTTATACGACCCTAGTAGATGCTATCGCCCTTTAGACTGCTCAAAGGCACACTCCTCATGATTTGATTTTTAAGGTCTTTTTCGGACATGGTAGTCCTGTCAGCGAATATGAAGAATGTACTACTTTCGCAGCTCAAAAATATATGAGGAAAGAAAGGACCAC